CCACAAAAACAAAAAAAAAAAACAAAAAAAAAAATGTTATCGCAGAACATAAGGGCAAAATATGAGAATCTCTCGAATTTATTGCACAAATCTCAACATGTTTAGATTATCCTACTCCAGACATAATTGAATGAATTAAATCAAATATTTTGAACCTTATTAATTTATTATTATATTCCGCAGCTGAGAATCCTGTAAAAGCTACAAAAAACTGCATTTTACACTGCGCAAAAAGGACATGTGTGAAATTCCAGATCAATATCTCAAAAACTGACGGAATAGTTGCGTCATACTGATCAATTTATATATTTGACTTTGCAGGATCTCCGACATTATATTTTGGGTGTTAAAAACGTCAACCCAAATTTAATGCACGCTATTCGGGGTATGAAAATAACTTCAATTTTATACCCACCTTTTTGAATTATTTTCATTTAGTTATGCAAAAAAAAAGTCTCAATCTACCGGGTTATCCAATAGGAGTGATATTATTTTCGGTGTCATTTCGGCCACTTATGATATGTCATGATCTGTTGTTTTTTCAGTGTATTCAGTAATGTTTATAATTTCATCTTGGAAAGATATACATAAGAACTCCGTTTACAAATGATTTATTGTATCAAAATAATCGTTATCAATTGCTACTTTTCGTGCGCCTTTGCCAATTTAAGGTCGTAATAATCTCCCACCTGTACTCGCTATTCGACGAATTGTTGAACATTTCGAACTAACAATTTCTTTATATAGTGTTGAAGTGCCAACAGAACAAAGAAGCGCTCGAAGTAATGAGAATATTGCTGTCGTTCAGGAAAATGTTTCGAAAGGCCGCAATTTGTCGATTCGACGACGTTCTCAAGAATTGGGACTGTCTCAAGCCATAACCCGGATGGATTTTGAAAAAGGGCTTCCATCTCTATAAAATTGTCCTCATTCAAGAACAAAAGCCTAATCATAGTGTATTATGGGGCTCACTTTTATCTGAGTGGTGCGGTAAATAAACAAAACTGTCAGTTCTCGTCAGAATAAAATCCACAAATTATTCATAAACGAACATTATATTCACTTAAATTGACAAATTAGTATGTTTCTTGGTCTGGTGGAATCACCGGTCCGAATTTCTTTCTAACTGAAGCTGGTGACACTGTTACTGTCAATGGAGAGTGATATGAATTATGATTTAGTACCATGACTTGATTTAGTCGTTGGTCCGTGCAAAAAAAAGTAGTGGGAATTATATGAACGAAATTATATCAGAATGTTATTGGTTAACTAGCTATTTCAGCAGAAGTCAATTAAAAGGTGCTGTCTAAAGAATTTTGAATCTAGCGCTGCCCATTGGCGCCATCTATATGTCGACAGGTGCGTTAGGATCCGTAATCTTTATCGATTGTCCAGTAAGAACATATGGACATGCAATTCTCAGAGAAATATTAGCACTGAATTTCAGTTATATATCAAAAATCAAATATTGATACTGGAATCCAATATCCGGTATCTAGGGGATGGAACGGTTTTTGTTGGATTTGAATAATTTTTGGTATAAGGTGGCGTACACAAAAAGTATTACTTAGTTCAATCTCACTTAACTGGAAAAAGAAAGGATCAAGTGGAATTTAAAATTGTGCTATATGGGAAGTAAGCGTTGTTGTCCGATTTTGCTTGTTTCCACAACATAACATGAATATGAGAGGAAAAACGCGTACTATATTTTGTCGAAATCGGCCTTTCGGGTCCTGATATATGGGATTTCACTAAAAAATGGGCGGTGCTACGCTCATCATCCAACTTACACACCGGTTCCAAAAAACCCATCTCTTAGGTAAACTTTAATGTCTCTGGCATATTTCTTTATTACCTTTCTGCGCTTTTAGTAGTTTCGCACAGTACAGTTATATGTTGAGCAAGCGGGGTTATCTTCTAATTTTCACATTATCAGTAGGAGTTCTCTATTTTGAACAAATTTTATGATTGTAGCTGTAGTGATTTAGGAGATACGTAATTTAAACTTATTAAAGGTATGTCAAAAGTTTTTGCCCACAGATGACCCTTTCTACTGCAAACACCTGTCTTATATACGAGTTTTATATCTTAATTTTAATAATAGTCCCATAAAGTCCACATGCGAACTCGTAATTTTTTTTTTTTTTTTTTTTTTTTTTTTTTTTTTTTTTTTTTTTTTTTTTTTTTTTTTTTTTTTTTTTTTTNTACAGCTTTATAACTTAATTTAATGCTTAATTATGTCACTTTATATGTTTTCGTTTAGTGGCGAGTCGAAGCTTTTTTTTTGTACTAGGGAACCCGCATACCAAGTTTCATCAAGACATCTTAATTTTTACTGAAGTTAATATCACCTGTATTATAGTTCAAAGAGTATGGTGTCAACCAATATGACAATCCAGTTCTGCGTTTGCCTGTGGAAAAGAAGATGAGTCAAGCATTCTAATGCTAAGTTGTCGAAATTTAGGTAGAAAATCTACACTTTCGGTGACCAGTCCCAAAATGAGTTAGTCACCGACTTCGATTTTCATAAGTAAAGTTTTTTCACTTTTAGTTAAATGAGTACGTTAATAAACAAAATTGCCGTATTTTGAGTGATAACAATCCACAAACCTTTATTGAGACACATTTACATCTTTATAAAAGTACAGTGTGTTGTGATCGCTCTATGGGCATGAAGCTCACACTAATGCTATTAATGATAAACGCTATATGGTCATGATTCATGACATTTTTGAGAAAAATTTAATTATGTACATATATATTACACCAGGCATCAAATGATAGTATAAATGTAATATATACTAGCAATCTCAGATCACTCATTTCCTACATTCTCGCTTAAGAACAAATTCATAAAACTTTTCATGTAGATGCACCCTTATGTAAATAAACCGTTGGAGTAATATTTGCACTTATTATTTGGACGCAAAAAAATATTTACTCCATCGAGAATGAATAGTCTTCGCTGGTGAGCGCATGAGTGCGCGTCAAAAACTGAAGAGAATCGAATCTTAATTGTAGAAGGTGGGAAGAGGGGTAAAACGTGTCAAAAACAAGAAAAAAGTTAATTTCGGCTGCACTGAACCACATATACCCTTCACAGGTGCATTTCTTTTAGTAATTATGTGTCCAGTTTGTATGGAAGCTATACGCTATAGTAATCCGATCTGAACAATTTTTTCGGAGATTATATTGTTACCTTAAACAGTAATCCATGTGAAATTTCGTGAAGATACCACGTCAAATGCGAAAGTTTTCCATACAAGCATTTGTTTCCGATCATTTAATTTGTATGGCAGCTCAATGCTATAGTTAACCGATCTTAACAATTTCTTCGGACATTACATTGTTGCTTTAGAAAATAATCTATACCAAATTTCGTGAAGATACATTGTCAAATGTGAAAGTTTTACATACAATAAGTTGATTCCGATTGTTCAGTTTGTATGGCAGCTATATGTTATAGTGGTCCGATATCAGCACTTCCGACAAATGAGCAGCTTCTTGAAGAGAAAATGATATTTGCAAAATTTCAAAATGATATCTTAAAAACTAAGGGACTGGTTCGTATATATACAGACAGACGGACGAGCAGACAGACAGACGGACATGGCTAAATCGACTCAGCTCAACATACTGATC